GGCCTGTAGTGCAGGATAGGGCTGGGCCTAGCAGTCGTCTCGGAAGCTCTTTCTCCTGGCTGTCGCACACACTGTAGCTCGGAATGAAATAGAGTGATTTCACCTTGGCCTGAGGTAGCTGGAGAATGAGATGTTCCTGAAGAGAAAAAGTATAAATCACTATTGTTTATCCTTGGCATTGTAACTTTGCTTTATTTATTTTAGCATCAAGAAAACTGATTCAACTTACTTTGATTTAAGAAAGACTCAACTTTTGGGGGAGTAGGATATTCAGAGCATATGCATCTTTTTTTTTTTTTTCTTTTTTTTTTTTTTTTTTTTTTTTTTTTTTTCGGAACCAGGGATTGAACTCAGGTCCTTGCGCTTACCGGGGAAGTGCTTATTCCACTGAGCCATCTCCCCAACCCCAGAGCATATGCATCTTTTTTTCCCCATAATTTTATTGATAAACAAATAGCAATGAGACAGTTTCAAATCAAATTGGTAGGACAGTTTCAATAATAACACATTGCATACATTCTTCCTAGTGGTTAATTGCTGTACAAGATGCGGACATGATATTCTATTTACAAACACTATTAGAACAAATCCCTCTATTCATTAAGAGAATGTAACTATATATCTATCCTAACCATTTTGAATACACAGATACAAAATGGACATTCATCTGTATACCCTTTTTTTGTTAAGTTCCGTTATTTGAATATTATAGGTGTGTAAACTCAGCAAAATATTCTAAAAGAGTCCAGTAGCCCATAGTAGTATTGGGTCTTCTGCTTGACTGTTAATGTCAGAAATTGTTGACCTGAGTTCCCTACAGCTCAACATAACAGCATGGCTTTACTTCTTATATTTCATTTTTATACTTTTCTGCTAGATGGTTAAGACCAAGGTAAAGCAGGACCTATGCAACAAGAGTTGTAGCTTTTGGGTCTATAAGGTCAGTGAAATCCCCTCAGGATTTATCCTGAGCTCCTGTACCTCAGACTGTAGAACCTTTGTCAGTGTCAGCCATGTGGATGATTCCTAGCCATTGCTTGGCCAATGTGCTCTCTGTGAAAGCCTGAGAGAATGTTTTCTCTCCATGTGACTCTCCTTAGGCACATTCTACATCATCGATCACTTTCCTCTTTGGCCCCATAATCTCCTTGATCAGAAAATTTGGGACACTACTGAGTTACATGATGTTACAGTACAAGTTCTCATATGTCCTGATCTTAATTGACCCGATCCAGAAATGGGCATCGGAGATTAACACACGCTTCTCAGAGGATGAAATTAAAGAAGCAAATAAATATATGAAAAAATGCTTCACATTATTAGCCATCCGTGAAATGCAAATTAAAACAACATTGAGATATCATCTCACCCCAGAAAGTATGGCTATCATAAAGAAATCAACAACAAATATTGGAGAGGCTATGGGAAAAAAGGAACCCTTCTCTACTGCTGGTGGGAATGTAGACTGGTACAACCGTTATGAAAATCAGTGTGGAGACTCCTTAGAAAACCTGGACTGGAAATCCCATTTAAACCAGCTATTCCTCTAGTGGGAATTTTCCCGGAGGATCTGGAAACATCATATCATAGTGATATATGTGTGCCTATGTTTATAGCAGCACAATTTGTGATAGCCAAATCTTGGAAACAACCAAAATGCCCATCACCTGAGAAATGGCATATGCATCTTAATAACAAAGACAATACGACAGACACAGAGTCTAAGTCCAGACTCTTACAAGCATGGTCTGAGAGCTCTCTCCCCTCATCACGCTGAGAACAGTTCTTGTTGCCTAGTGCGCTTCTGCATGCTGTTTGTCAGCCATTTTGCACTAAGTGGGCTCCAATTACTTGGTTTCTTACATTTATCTGAGTTTTTAAATCATTTTTCTGGCATCTGCTTGCTAGGAGTTGTTAGTAATTCTTTCTGAGGCTTCCCAGGAGCCTTTCTGTTAGCAGTAAGACTCCACGTCACCTCCTTATTCCTCTTCTGTCCTCCACCTCTGATTTTTATTTACTATTTCTGCTCTTTACCATGAACTGGTTAACAAATAATGAAAAAGTTAAGCTTTTTTTTTTGTTTTTGTTAGGTTGGTTTGTTTGTTTGCGGTACCAGGGATTGAACCCAGGACTCTACGCTTGCCAGGCAAGCGCTTATTCTACTGAGCTATCTCCCCAGGCCCTTGAATTTAAGTTTTAATATAAAATATTAACTTTTAATGTAAAAATTAAATTCAAATTAATACAGAGGTTGTGGTAGATCTTTCAAGAAAATACTACATGGTATTTTTAACATGGTAACAGAATTGATTGTAGCTGTTGTGTTGAAAAATCAGTCCTGTTTATTTACAGACTTCTTCTCCTGGACTTTCTAGTAATAAGTTCTCTTTTACTTCCTTGTTCCTAGCAATATGTGAATAGCTGTGATCATTTCTCGTCACGTTTCACTTCTCTTTGGATGTAAAAATTATAATTTTTGTATTAATGCTTTCTAAATCAAAGCGTGTTTTATGTATATTTTATTTTACTTAGAATAATTTATATGTAAATTATTAATACTTTGAGGTGACATATAATATCTTCAAATTATGCAAAATGTGTCATACAGTTTCCTTTATTTGAATAACAGCAAATTCCATCTAATTTAGTGAAAAGCAACATGTAGAATTGGTGAAAAGCATGATATTTCATTCCCCTGGGTCCCTGAGGCAGCGGTGCTAAAATCCTGATATGTGCTTATCACTTCTTTCTTTTATTCTGTGTCATTATTATATTGGTTAATATTTGTTAACCAAGAAAGCATGGACAGAGTTTGAAACTTGTGTAAATGGCTAAATAAGAATAATTTGTACTGAGTGCATACTTACAGAATATAAATGTATTGTAAGATTTTATACTCCTGAGAATCTTGGCCTTCTTTCTCTTTGTCTACCTTTTCTATTCTTTGCTAATCAAATCCCTAATTTATGAGTCAGATTTATTATTGTATTTAGGGATGGGAGATTGTAAAATCCCCTCTTCTACTGAATGAATTGTATCAGGGCCCTACCCCCTGTGTAATTCAGTTTTCAGGTCCATGTGTCTTCTCCCCCATTTTGTCCTCACCAGGATGAAGACAACACAAGGTACTAGAAGAAAAGACCAGAAAATTACTTAAAGCATGCTTCATCTGTTATTCTCCAATAAGGAGACAGAGTTAGAGATCAAATTTAAAAAAAAAAAAATTGAGAGTAAAGATGACTTAGATTGCCTTACTATCTGCCGCTTCTCTATCCCTGGGGATCTTTAAAGGACTAAGAGATTCCAGGCTTGGGTGATCGTGTGGGCTCCTTCCCTGAAGGCCACAATTCCTCATTCCTCTCCCACCACTCAGAGCAACTTGTGAGACACATGAAGGCCATGTTCCCCCAGAAAATCGCCTCCATATGCGGAATCCCAGCATGTGTGTTTTACTAGATGTTCCCAGGGCAGCGTCAGGATTCGTTTTCCATGTTTTTTCTCAGGGCCATTAGGCACATCTTTTCAGGATAATTCCAATTAAGATGATGTGCTTAGAAAAGTATATATTTACCCAGCACAGGGCATTCGGTTACTATTCTCTTTCAGCAGAGTTAAAATTAAAATAATGAATTAATAGGGCCCCTAAAACATCTGGTTTCCTTAAGCCTCCCCGGACTTACAGAGATTAACAGATCCAAGACCCCCTGCTTGGTTCCTGTATCTCTGCTTAACACAGTCATATCGCACCTTGCAGGCAAAGCACGAAAAGAACCTGGAATTTCTCCTATACTTTCTAATAGCTGCAGCACAAACGTAAAAACTCTGCCTTATTAGATATGCTGGCTCAGAACATTTGAAATTACTTTATAAACTTGTCTGGCTCATCTCCCCTTTAGGGCTATATACAAAAACCAAGCCAAGTGGACGTATGTGTTACTGTGAAATAAGCGATATAAATAGTTTCAGACCTATATGTGTTAGTGTAGAACAAATCCCAGGCTAATAGCTTCTGTGGGGGGCGGGGGGAGGAGGACCGAACAATCGCTGCTCCTATAATTTTCCCCCAAATTAGTTTTGCTATTTTATTTCACCGCATCAACAGGCTTCATACTCCGTCCCTTGCTGCACTTGTGCCAGCCTGTTCCGAGCACATTGGAGGTTCTCTGTGGACATTACCCAGCTTTAGCATCATTGTCATGAGTACATTTAAAAAGAATACACCGTTCCTTTCAACCTAGTAAGTCAGACATGGCTGTTTCTCCCTTACTTTTGGAAGATCAGCGTACAATCATCTGTTTGTTATCTCAGGTTATCTGCCTGCACTGACACCCCCAGCAGAAACCAGTAGCCTTGCAGTTAATTGACACATGGTCCACCGGAAGATGCCCTGCTGTGTGCTCCTGCTGCCCTCTCAGGAATGTTCCTGCCAAGCGCAGAACCCATGTTAGTCTTCCTGGGTTCTGGGTTTCAAGCCACACTTGACCTTTGAGGTCTAAGTGAATTTATTGTTGGCAAAAGAAAATGTATTGTTTAAAAAGAATAGGATTAGAAAGGGTCATAATAAGGACTTATAACACTTCTTGGAGCTCAGATATGTCTTACAAAATAAAATGTTTATGAGCTAAGTGTAAATGATTCAGAAACATACGGATCAAATTTCCCCTGTAATGCTAAAGGATTTCAAAATTAGCAGAAATGGGGCCTGGCAAAATATACGCTTTGAATTTCACCAAGCCGAGAGTATTTGAAATGCAATTTAAGGAGCTTGACAAACCCCAGGTTTTCCTTTGTTGTTGTCTTTTATTCCCTTAATGTCTCAATTAAGAACTGTGCAGTTAAAAGAAAGAAAGAAAGAAGGGTCCTAAAGAAGTTTCCAAGGTCCTCTCAGCACACTCAAGTAGAGCCAGAACGGGGAGCTGCATTTGGCTGTGGAGAGAGCGCTAGTCTTCACCCCCACAATGTTATGCGCCTCACGTTGCCTTTTATTATTGTTGTTACAGGTTTGTTCCTTCTGCGCCATCTCCTCACCACATCAGCCCCCGGAGAGTTCCAGCTCCGTCCTCAATACTGCAGAGAACACAGCCTCCTCACACTCAGCAGCCGTCAGTTCCACACCTGAAGTCCTATCAGCCAGAGACGAGCTCTTCCTTTCAGCCAAATGGTATCCACATCCATGGTCAGCAGAGAACTGGCAGCCCCTGGGGTTTCGATAAGTTGTGCTGGCGCTTTTGATTGCATCTTTGTTATTTCCAGTTGCAGGTTTCAGATGCTTTGTTTTACATCCCACATAAGCTTTTAGAATTTTCTTTTAAAATTACCCACTTCATAAGCATGAAATCCCATAGTATGTTCCTGCTGAGGGCCCTAAAATGGCATGACTTAAAACACCCAATCTGGTGAGTTCCAGATGCTGATTGGGCCACAGACCTGGTGCTCTGACACCTCAAGGACAGGCTCTAGCAGCATCACCCCTTTGCTCAGCGATCAGCAGCCTGTCTGAAAGGGACCACTGGACTTCTGTGTCCACGTGCACCTCCTACTTTAGGTATTTGTCCCTTTCTCAGAAGCCACATCCTGTCATCCTTTAAGGATCAGAGGAAATGATACCCAGCCCCTGAAGCTGTGCCTGCTCCCCAAGCTGATGTCATCTCTTCTCACTTTAAACGCTGTTAGCATCTCAATGTGTGTCTCTCTGCTAGAAATTTGCTCTTTATACCTTGTGATTTATTTACCTGTGAGTAAATGTGTCTTCCCTGTTAGTAGATATAGTTCTTTCTGAGGTCAGAATTGTTTTATGAAATGTAACACAGTTCTTCACATACTATAGCAAAGACAGCTTCTTGTTAGGCACATAGAGGAAGAAAAGGAGATAACGAACCATGAAAATCACACTAGTTTTCAGAGATACCCATCTTGTTTGTTTGTTTGTTTCTTTCTTTCTTTCTCTCTTTCTTTTTGAAATAGGGCTTCACTATGCAGTTCAGGCCAGCTTTTTGCTGACTTTTGTAGCCCCTGGGCTGGTCTCGAACTTGCAGCAATCCTCCTTTCTCAGCCTCCTGCATGCTGGGATTGTAGGTGTGCGCCACCACACCCAGTTCCATCTTGTATTTAATAAGCAACATTCATGGAGAACTAAGTCTGGCTCGGTTTCTTTTCTTTATTTAAACCTGGTTCAACAATTCAAGTACATATCCTAGTAGATTTCCACAGGAAGTTGACATGTCAAACCATACAGACTCAAACTATGAAGGTCTTTTTGCTTCCTGGGACGGTCGGACCTTCTCTACAAGCAGAAAGGCTACCATCTGTTTAGAATGAGCATTTCAGTTCCTTCTGAAAAATATGGCTCTTACACCTGCCTTTTGCCAATTCCTAATTTTTTCTATATGAGTGATTATTTGAAATTAATGGGTGGTGCTCCAGTCCTATCTAAAGCAGTGCTCAAACTCACTGGTGATAACTTCCCAAGATGGAAGAATCAAGCTAAAGATCAGAGCCAGATTTGGGTAAGTGCATGAAAGGAGAGGCGTGAGCAGCAGAGGAAGTAATGTAAAGAAGTGGCTGTCTGTAGGAAATTAGAGAAAGCAATAAAAGCCAAGGAGGACCACTAGCTCTGGCTCAAAGTTGCGTCCATCACCCATGTCCCCCATCTATCTGTTGCCCCTGTATAAATCCCCCACACCCCTACAAAACTTAAGACTTAAGAGATACAAGAATTCTTACCATCTTCTGTTTATACGTTGCAGCTTAAGCTTTAGTTACATACTTACTCAACCAAAATCTCGAGTGCTTGTTGTGCACAAGACAAGGAATGTGTAAGGAAGATAAAGCCCTCTCTGTGTGCAGCCAACCAACCCCAGCCCTCTACCCCACAACTAGGCAGTGTGTCTAGTGTGCAGGAGACGAAGAGCCCTGGGGTGGAACCCCTGCGCTCCCCAGGCAGGAGGGAGAGGACAGCATGAGTACAGAGTAGGCTGTAAGACACCCTTTCCTACCTTGAACAGGGCAAATCGCAGTCAGTGGCACCATATAATTGATAGTGAATTTTATTTCTGGTGTTATATAGAATAAGGGAGCATTTCACAGTCAGTGGTGTCATAGTTCCAATGAAATGCAGTATAATCTACTTTAATTATAACTATGAAATCAATGTTTAAATGTTTAAAAAATAACTTAGGTGTTCAAAAAAATTGGAAAGAAATTTGCTAAAATATTAATAGTTTCTATCAGGAAAGTGGGATAATGGGTATTTTCTTTCTCTGTCTCTCTTTTTTCTTTTTGTCTTTTTCTACTTTCAAAATAGTTTTTTTGGAAGGAGAGTTTGGAATTAGACCAATTTGAATGGAAATACCACTCAGCTATGAACTCTGACTCTGGACAAATTGTTGAGGTTCAGTTCATGGTGGGGGAAGTTTCATCTCTCTTGTCTAAGGATTGTTATAAAAATTTGACAAGAGCAGCCCACCTAATGCAGAGTAGGAGCTCATTTAGTTTAATTCTCTTCCTTGTAGTCTCTTCCTTTTCTTTATTAGACTGTTTGGAGCCAGGGATTATGTGTGTAAGTTGCCCCAGGCCATGCATGATATTTTGTGTAAAGTACACATTCAATAAATATTTCCCAAATAAATAATTCACACTTTCTCATTCAACAAGTGAGTAATGAAACAGAAGGATAGAGAAAATGGGATCCATTCCATCGTATGGGCAAAATACTGTCTTTTTCCACCTTTTCTCTTTTTAGTTAAGTAATGAATATGCTGTCAACTTGAAGTTGTTGAGACTTTCTTTAGCTTTCACTTTTTTTAATTGGTAAAAATTCTCAAGGTTAGTAAGAAAGTGCTAACATCAGCCTTAAGTTAGGCAAATAGGATAGTTAGGCAAATTAGGAAATTATGACTTTCTCCAGGAAGACAGGAAGGCAGTTCTGTGATGGGCTTGTGAAGAGAATTTTCAATGTGTAAGGGGTGCGGAAATATGTAGCCTAATTGTCTCTGTAATTTTACATTTTCTGAAATGTTTCTGTGCAACTTTCTAGGCACAAGCATCTCTTTAAAAAAAGAATAAGAGGGCTGGTGAGATGGCTCAGTGGTCTAAAGCACCTATTTAGAACAGGCTAAGCTAAGCAAAACAAAGGGACCATGGTTCAATCCCCCAGCACCACATGCCAGCCAGCCCCACCCCCTGGTGAGCTGAGCTGGCCACACACACACTAAATAAATAAATAAATAAATAAATATTAAAAAAATAAAATAAAATAAAAAAGAGTAAGATTTACTATTTTTGAGTGTCAGAGGGCTGGGGGTTAGGGAGATCTTGTGAATGAGTTGTGTTTATTGGCTGTGCCTTTTTTTCCCTAGTGTTGGATGGATTTGCTCCATAGAGTTACGTAGTATCCTGGTATCCAGAAAGTTCATTCCCTAATAAAACTTGAATTTTAAATTCTCAGAGTGTTAGGGTTTGTAATGCGATAGCCGCAATGAGTGTTCGTCCTGTGTTTCAAAACATTCATGGCTTTAATAAGTGGCATCACCCTATCTCTTTTGTCATGGTCTTAGTTTTAGGCTGAGAAGAAAGTGAAGAACAGATGACAAATCTACCCCAGGCTTAGTCACATGACAACTCTCAGATGGATACATTGGTGTGTCACCTTGCTTAACAAAACTAAGGCTCTGTTAATGCTATTTACTGGGCAAGCACAATACAGGCCTGCAAGAGGCTCTCAGGGATAGTTCTCTGATCTGTAAAATGGGCCTCTCTGATCTTTCTGAGAGTTCTGCCCTGTTCTCTGCCCCTCTCCTTTCTCTTGGGTTTCAGCTGCTTGCTTTCATTTTCACTCCTCTGAGAGTTCCAGTTGCTACCACAAAGCCTTCCATCATCCATGGTCTAGTTATTAGATTTCATTAGGAAAACACCACAAGGCAACCTCCTTAGCCAAGGCTGTTTAATAGCAGCCCTGCAGTAGGTAGCAATCGAGGAGAAATATCATCACTGTACTTTTAGAGATGGGCAATGAGTGTACCAAGCACCTCTAACTAGAGGTCCACATTTCCAAACCATGTTCTTCATCAATGTGTTTCTGAATCAGAAGTGTGCTGAAACAAACACATAGTTCCATAGGAGAGAATGAAGGCCTGTATGTAGATGCTGATCTTTTACATAGGCCACAGAAGGTTAGAATGCAGAGGGCTTTGGTCTCGTTGTGAGGAACAAAATGTGGTCCCCTGAGTTTGTGAATCATGTAATATTGAGCTTAGATAAGCTATGCTATAAATGTATTTTCATTAAGATATATTTTCTAAAAAATCCTTACAAGTATTACAGCTTTGGGTTCTTTTCAAGTTCCTTCACCTCCTTTTTGTTGATTCTACATCTACTTCTTCCTTTTATACTGCCTTCATGAGTAAGATGGATTTGGTATCCTTTCTTTTTAATGTTCAAATGTTTGTAGCATTTATGTGTCTTTGTTTGAGTGATATCTCTGAGGAGCTTTTCAGTGCATTTTAGTCCTATGTTTTAGATGTCTAATATAGGGGTGCTCTTTCTAATTGTGTCACTTATATCTTGGCCTTTTCTTCTTCGCTACAACAATTCTCCTGCCTAGGCAAGCTTCAAATTTTTGCCTGGATGAGTTGCCTAGAAGGTGACGTTTATACATTTGGTTATGGTACCAGGGGAGAATTTCTTTTTAAATTCCCTATTCATTCCAGGTTATTGAGATGTTGGGAGAATTCTGGAGACACGCACTTTCACAACCTTCCTGCTTTGGGGCCCTTCAAGGGGAGACCAAGTGCAGTTCAGCAAATGTGTATTGGTCACCTTCTATATGGCAGGCAAACATTAAAATCGTTCAATCATTGCACTGTAGTACTTGCGGTCTTAGAAGGTGTAACAGGCCCCATTGTGTTCAGAAGAAGACGTCAGAGAGGTTTGTGGAGGGGATCCTTGAGTAGAGTTTGGGGCAGGCTGAGTGGGGCAAGGTATTCCAGGCAGGGGTGGAGAGCAACACAAATGAAAGTGTATTCAGAGAGGAGAGCCAAAGGGAGCTTGTGTGTGGCAGAAGTACACAGGGTAAGGCATTCGCCAAAGAGAAAGGATAATGGGAGTAGTAAGGCCAGTGCAAGAGGGATCCTGTGCCGTGCACAGTGTGATGCCAAGCAGACAAGTCCACCTGGTGTT